TTGTCTAATGCAACACATACAGGATGCAATTAGATGGGCTCGGCTAATCTTAAACATGGCATGTGAAATGCAATCAACTATCACATAGTCAATTTTTGAATTTAAGTACAAATGCAGTTAGCGTGATGTACCGAGCCCAATGCATGCAATACAAATGCATGGATGCACGCATGCACGCATGCATAGCATAAGGAATAAATGTGCCCTAATCTACCATCATAAGCAGGTAAATAAAAGGGAAGAAAGAAGTGGGGATTGGAAGACATACACACACTCACTCACACTTATTACATGTTTCCCCTCACTCAGAGGGTTCGAATTAATATTACAGTCCCAAAATAATGAATAAATAAAATTATTACAAAATTTCCTAATTAATTAAAAAAAAGAGGAAGCAAAAGAATGAAAAGGGTGGCCACAGCCTCTGCCTCGGGGCGCGCAGATGATGCATGCTCGAATCCGTCTTGCCCGGAAAACCCGTACTATACTCTTGTCGTCTCTGTTTGTACTGCCTTGTCTTTTTGAAAATTGCCAAAGTACTGGAACAAACTCCTTGCATCCTGCAGAGCACCACCGGCCAAACAGAATTGCCACCGGCACTTCAAAATTCTCATCGGCATTTTATCGGATTCATCGGCACTCCAGATAGTGCCGGTCGGCACTAAATTCTGCCGGTCGGCAGAAACTTCCTGCAGAAGACAATCTGACAGCAAACAGAGAACCATCAATGGTACATGGTGAGTCAAGGGATCGAATTTGCCATTTGATATGAAAATGCATGCAACAAATAACATGAAAACCGGGGCCTTATCAAGTTAGAGTCAAAGGTCCCGATGACCGGGAATCAAGGTGCATTGCATCAGTTGAAGTATGAATGGTCCTTGATTCCCACACTTGGTTTGACACCCCAAACCAAGTAAATGCAATGCATGTTATGCTTATAAGGCTCAAATGCAACATGCTATCAATGTGCAAGGCGAGCCAAGAATCATGCAACTAGTATGGCAAGCATGCAATACTAGACATACAAAGATGCAAAGGTGAAGTAAACACGAACGCTTTGAGCAATAGAATCCTCATGCTACAACAACATATGAAGCAATCATACATCAATCATGAAACAATCATGCAAAGATGGTTTAAAATGGCAAAGGGGCAGACCTACACCCTCCTCAAAACAGTGGCCAAAAGTGCTCAAAATGATGGACAATCAACTCATGTTAACAAGCAAGCTTATGGTCCCAAAGTTAAGGCACAAAAGAAGACAATTTACCCCCACCAACATGACCTCTCCAAAGCTAAGGCATTAAAGGAGACAACTTACCCCCACCAACATGGGCATTCATGGCATGATTAAAACAAGTAAAAACAGAATTTATGCATGCAAGATATGACTCCAAAAACTCCTAATATGGCCACTAAAATAAGCCCCATGAAACAAATACACCAAGGCTCATTCTTAGGCATAGGAAGACACAACCTCAAGATATGGAAAAGACCATGCATGCACACATGTAGGCATGATTTTTGGACTAAAATGGCATGGCAAACAACCTCCACTCATCAAAGTAGACCAACCAAAGCACTTATGACTCATATACTTGAGGGCTCACAAGCCAAAATACATAGCAACCATAACAAATATGCCAAACATGACCAAGTTGATAACTAACAGATTTTTAAGCATGGAAAAACAATGCTAAATGCTTCATGGAACCAAGCCAACACACACAAAAATCATGGCCTAATCATGGGGTGTATTTCTAAGCAAGATGGAGCAATACAAAGCAATTCTTACAAGCATACAAGAGGGCCCAAATCCGACCAAAAACAGAGGTTATGTATGACCTAAGATGCCTAAAAAAGTACCAAAATGAAGCCAAGAAACAACAAGCACACATGCTATCCTTTTGAGCCTACAAAGCACGGAAACAAAACCATAAAGGGAGAGGGGTGTCCCTCCCCTATGCAAGACTTCAAACCAACTTTTTTGACACTAAAATACACCGATTTTTGGTAATCAAAAGATCAAAATGCTGAAGTGAACAAAACCTTATCAAAATGGCACCAAAATAGACCAAACAAAGCTTAAGAGGGTGAGTTTGCAATCTAACCACAAAGTGACATTAATGAAAATGTTAGAGCAGGAAAATATGAGCCTTTTTTATGTTATACACAAGAGCCAAAACAATAAAAAAAATAGGTAGAAAACCAATGCAAGTTTGGGGAATAAAAGGGAAAATGCTCACCCTTGAAGAACCCTTGAAGAACAAATGGCCTAACCTCCTTCTTTGGATCAAAACCAGTCCAAAACTCAAGAAACAACTCCCCCAAGTCCCTCAATCTCGGACTAAGGTGTAATGGTGTGTGTAATGGTGCAAAAGTAAGGTAAAACACACCTTTTGGGCCAAGAAACACACACAAGAAGTGGAAGGAGTCAGTGGTATCCCACCACCTCTCCACAAGAGCCCCTAAGAGAGGGCGGCTCGCTTTCATGGAGATCACCATGAAGAAATGCATTTTGGACATCAAGTTGGTGAAGAGACCAATTCTGGGCAGCGGCCAAAGCTAATAAACAACGAACAGTAATCATTTTGGCAGTGGGAGAAAAAGTGTCATGGTAATCGATACTTTGCATCTGGGTGTAGCCTTTCGCAATCAAATGAGCTTTGTAACGCTCGATAGTCCATCCGAGTGACGTTTGATTTTATAAACCCAACGACAACCAATGGGTTGCTTGCCAAGAGGGAGAGAAGTGAGAGACCAAGTGTGATTGGCCTCTAAAGCAGCCAATTCAGATTGCATGGAAGCTTGCCAGTGGGAATGAGGAGCGGCTTCCGCATAGGATGTAGGCTCAATATCTTGACTGATAGTAGCAAGAAAGGAGCGATGGGGTGGTGAATAACGATGATAAGAAAGATAATTGCAAAGAGGATAGCGTGTACCTTGTGGGGAACGAGATGACGAAGGCGACAATTGGTTGGGAGACGTCACTTGGTTACAAACATAATCGCATAAAGCTGTGGAAGGAACTGGATGTCATTGAGAACGACGTAAAGCTGGTGCGGGAGGAGGACTGGCGGAAGGTGGTGGAACAGGGCTAGTAGGGGAAATGGAAGAGACTGGGTCGAGGACTGGGGTGTGTGGGACGGGGGTAGGAATGGGGTCCAGTAGAAAGAGTAGCATCAGGCACCGAGAGAGGAAGGACATGGGCAGAATTTGGGGAAGAGGATGGAGGGGACTCATAGGGAAATATGGTTTCATGAAAAACAACATCGCGACTAGTGAACACCTGATGAGTGCAAGGTCATAGAGTTTGTAAGCTTTTTGGCCAACCGAATAACCAAGAAAAATACAACGTTTGGCACGGGGAGCAAATTTATGAGAAACATGCACTTCAGTAGCATATGCAAGACACCCAAAAACCCGAATATGAGAATAAGAAGGAATCTTTCCATAAAGCCGTTCAAAAGGAGTTTGGTGAGAAAGGAGTGGTGTGGGCAAACGATTAATTATATGGACAACAGTGGAAACACAGTTGGCCTAAAAAGGTAAAGGAAGATGGGCTTGAAAACGAAGGGCGCGAGCAAACGCAAGGATATGGCGATGTTTGCGCTCGACCACCCCATTTTGTTGAGCTGTAGATGTACAAGAAGTTTGATAAATGGTGCCTTGTTGTTTATAAAATTCGTGCATAGAAAAGAATTCCCCACCATTATCAACCTGAATGGTAGCAATAGAGGCATTGAATTGGGTGTGGACCCAGGTAAAAAATTGGTAAGTGAAGGCTGGGTTTCATTTTTGTGCTACATAAAAAAAATCCATGTGAATCTAGAATAGTCATCCACAATAGTTAAAAAATATTTAGCACCGGAAAGAGAAGCAATTCTGTAAGGGTCCAAAATGTCACAATGAATTAATTCAAAAGGTCTCACAGAGGAAATTGAACTAGGAAAAAAAGGAAGCCGACTCTGTTTGGCAAGTGCCCAAATATCACAAGCATTATTAGACTTGAAAGGAAAATGTAACAATTTTTTTGCCATAAAATCTAATCTAGATGAAGATAAATGCCCCAATCGATGATGCCACAAATCAGTAGAGGCGTTGCCTTGAGAGCAGGATGAACGGCTAGTAATGGCGGCTGTGGATTGATTGTTATGGTGTGGCTGCTCCGATGCTAACGCAACCATGTAATAAAGTCCGTCTCGTTGTTCACCCAAACCAATTGTCTTCCTCGTCATCAAGTCCTGCAAAACACACCAATGAGGGAAAAACGTTACGAAACAATTGAGGTCGCTTGTAATTTTACTCATAGACATTAAATCCACCTTAAAAGATGGAGCGCCAAGCACATTTTTCGAAGAAATAAATGAATTCAAGGGTAAAGTTCCAGTAGATGTGATTGGAGCATGTTCTCCACTTGGCATAACAACGGGTGGCAAAAGAGTGTTCTCTTTACTGTTGACAAGTAGAGCAGGAGTAGAAGTAATATGGTCTGTGGCACCACTATCGATAATTAATCGTTGGAGGTGCAACAACACTTGTGACAAACCTGAAGAAGCACTGGCAGCATTAGCCTTAGGAGTGGCGGATTGAGATGTGTTTGGACCATGCACAATAGATAATATTTGCTGGATTTGCAAATTAGATAAGCCATTGGTCACCGACTGTATTTCCGGCATCTTGTGACCCTCCTTGACGTTGTTGACCGAAGATTGATGATTGTTATTGTGTTTAGAATGAGTGCCTCCTTGATTGGACCTGTTTGATGCATGTTTTGGGTGTCTTGGGGGATACCTATTTAATTTCCAACATGTGTCTCGCACATGATGGTCTCGATCATAGTAAGAGCAATGCAAAGGTTTTTGATTAGATGAGTTGGAGCGAGAGGAAAAACTTTGGCCATGTCGAACAGCCAGAGCTACCGGTTCATCCCTTCGAACAACCATGGTTGAGGTCTCCGTGATTCCATGTGCAGCGCCTAGGCTTCATTGTTTCTCTTATTGGACAATAGAAGAGTAAGCCTTGGCAACATCAGGAAGCAGATTCATCAAGAGGATCTGCCATCGTATTGCACTATAAGACTCATTGAGTCCCATGAGAAATTGCATCAATCGGCGTCGCTTATGGTCTGCCCCATAAGAGCAAATAGTATCATTATTGGATCTCAGTTCATCCCACAATTTTTTAAGCTTGGTGTAGTAAGCTGCAACAGTCATTTGATCTTGAGTGAGACAAGCGATGTCCCTCTCAATCTGAAAAATACGTGGGGCATTGCTTTAAGATAAGCAATCCCGAAGGTCTTCCCATACCTCCTGGGCAGTGTTTAAAAAAATAAAACTATCGGCAAGATCTGGTGTGAGTGAATTGCGAATCCAAGATAGGATCATATCGTTGCATTTTTTCCATGATGCATAGTCATTTGGTTCGGTCTTGGCATCTGGCGCTGTGATAGTTCCATCTATGAAACCCGATTTGGATTTGGCATTCAAAGAGATGGTCATGGCTCTACACCATGTTAAATAATTATCCCCATTGAGAGGCTTGGAAACAAGCACCATGCCGGGATGATCGGAATAGTGAAGGAAATATGGATTGGCGGAATCAGGCTTGCCTCCATTCGAAGATTGCTCGTTTGCCATGATGATGGGAAATAGTGAAAGAGAGCAAAGAACAGAATGCTAGGGTATCGTTCCCTGCTCTGATACCATGTAAAAAAAGAATAGAATGTTTTTCTTCTGAAATAATTTTCATTGAATTAGAAGGTATACTTTTATACAAGAAAATTCCTCCAATCATGCTAATCTATTCTAGGTAATCAAAATGTAATAGGAATCTGAATACTACAGCTAACTACAACAATATATTATAGCAATCACAATGCATACTTATCCCATAAATGTTGGGATATCTTTGTGGGAACCCACATTTTATGTCCTCATCATGGTCATGAGCATCGGTATGATTATGACTTGTTTAGCTTGCATGTGTATATTGTGATTTGTTTCGTTTGAGCTTAGGTGATCCATGTCTTGTTTTGAAGCCTTGTGATTTGTCTAAGTGTAGTATGCTTGTCTTGTTCCTCCCTTGATGTGAAACTTAGGTTACGTCTTGCCTGAGTTATGCTAGCCGATGTTATTCCAAGCCGAGGTCATCCTTAGTCTAGTAGTAGTATCTTGAAACCCCTTGTTGACCTCCGTTCTCGTCTTGACACATTAGCCGAGATGTTACCCTATACCCAAGTGATCTCGCCCTGGAGTGGTATGACCTAGGCCGAGGTGTGGCGCATCTAGGCCAAGATGTGGCACAGCTTAGTCAAGTGTTGTCCTTCCTAGCCGAGGTCATTGTCACCTTAGTTGCCGAAGTCCTTTTTTAGCCGATGCCACCCCTTGCCGGAGTGTCATTCCGTGCAGCTTGTTAGATATGCCTTGTTGTTAGCCGATGTCATAGCCTGTCAGAAAGCCCATACCGCTTTGCTTGTTGAACACCCTTCCACCATGCTTTGTCTGGCCTGTCAGCCACCTTTTCAGGATGAACCCAATCAGTCGCCGCCACGTGTCTCAGCAGAGGGTTAACCCCAGAACCGGGTATAGAAAACTATCATTAGGGGACTATAATGCAACTGCACTCTTGTCTTGAAAGTCCTTAGTTGTAGGGGACTATAATGCAACTGCACTCTTGTCTTGAAAGTCCTTAGTTGTAGGGGACTATAATGCAACTGCACTCTTGTCTTGAAAGTCCTTAGTTGCAGGGGACTATAATGCAACTGCACTTTTGTCTTGAAAGTCCTTAGTTGCAGGGGACTATAATGCAACTGCACTTTTGTCTTGAAAGTCCTTAGTTGCAGGGGACTATAATGCAACTGCACTTTTGTCTTGAAAGTCCTTAGTTGCAGGGGACTATAATGCAACTGCACTTTTGTCTTGAAAGTCCTTAGTTGCAGGGGACTATAATGCAACTGCACTTTTGTCTTGAAAGTCCTTAGTTGCAGGGGACTATAATGCAACTGCACTCTTGTCTTGAAAGTCCTTAGTTGTAGGGGACTATAATGCAACTGCACTCTTGTCTTGAAAGTCCTTAGTTGTAGGGGACTATAATGCAACTGCACTCTTGTCTTGAAAGTCCTTAGTTGTAGGGGACTATAATGCAACTGCACTCTTGTCTTGAAAGTCCTTAGTTGTAGGGGACTATAATGCAACTGCACTCTTGTCTTGAAAGTCCTTAGTTGTAGGGGACTATAATGCAACTGCACTCTTGTCTTGAAAGTCCTTAGTTGCAGGGGACTATAATGCAACTGCACTTTTGTCTTGAAAGTCCTTAGTTGCAGGGGACTATAATGCAACTGCACTTTTGTCTTGAAAGTCCTTAGTTGCAGGGGACTATAATGCAACTGCACTTTTGTCTTGAAAGTCCTTAGTTGCAGGGGACTATAATGCAACTGCACTTTTGTCTTGAAAGTCCTTAGTTGCAGGGGACTATAATGCAACTGCACTTTTGTCTTGAAAGTCCTTAGTTGCAGGGGACTATAATGCAACTGCACTCTTGTCTTGGAATTGTCATCACCCCCTTGTATTAAGTAGATGTAATAACATCCAAAGAACTTGAAAGGCCGGCAATGAACTTGATTTCCCTCTTGATTGTAAAGTATGCTATGTATTGTTTTGAAAGAAATCTTGGATATCAATCATGCAAAACCTTTATTTCTAATATCATTCACTGAGTATCCAAGCTCTTCCTCTCTATATATATGTAGGTGATGAACAAGAAGGCATTGAGGCCTAGGCGTGATGCCGATGTGTTTTTGGGTGCATTGCCGACATGTTTCGGATTAGCATTTTTGTACCATCATGAAGATCATGCTTCTCGCCTTTTGGTCAAGATGTGTTTTGTATCTCATTTCATTATTGTATTTAAGTTGTCAGACTTTGTAAAGATGTATGCCATTTCATTGGACTTAAGCATGGCTCTCATGGACTATTTAGATTCTGTATATACATATATTGCTTCCGCACTTGTAAGCCCCATATTTCATACTCTGATTGTGTGTGATTCTTGTAAGTCGGCCTTCGGTAATCTCGGATTACTGGCCATCACGGCACCAAACTACTAGGGGCGGTTTGGGGGCGTGACAGAATGGTATCAGAGCACGAGATCCTTATAGTACGTTAATCACCCACCTTGAGTCCTAAAGAGCATAGGATTTTCCTTAGAATGATGTTAGGATTGCATCATATTACTTGCTACTTGACTACGTGTGCATCATTTCGGCATAGACATTTGTTACTTGTATACGTATTATCTGTTCAGTTATTTTTAAAGTCTCATCTGCATCCTCCTAGCATCATGAGGAGAGGTAGACCTCCGGTTGGCCGAGATCGTTCAGAAGATAGATTGGAGAGATTGGAAAGGTTAGTCGAAGGCTTGGTTCGTGAGCAGAGACAACCTAGGCCACAAGATACTGGTACCACCTCTACCCAGGCCGAGCAGACCAATGGCCGATATGCAGCTCCACCCCCTCCAGTGCCACAAGTGCCTATGCAGCAAGCTTTGTATGGGAACGACACGATAACCCTA